CACAGAACAGCTATAGGAAATCTTTCAGAAAGAGTTCAAAGGATAAATTCAAAGGTGTGTTTTCATATAGATTGCTTAGAGAAAGGGTGAACAAGAATTTGGATTATTGAATCGATCTGAGAGCATTTTGCAACAAAAACTTCTGACCTGTTCAGGGGCTGATAGCTGTGTTTGATGATTAGGAGCTGATTAATTGTTTAAGTTTTAAAACAAATTACCTAAATATTTCTAGACTGCTAAGAATAAACAATAGGATTCTAACCTTATAACTACTCACTATTATTTCCAAACACATATCCTATATTATTTAGGTCTTCAAATAAAACTAAAATAACAATGACAAATCTCAATTATGGCTCAAGGACCAAAACTACTTCAAAATAGAAAATAACCAAATTGCCCTCGAATCTGAACTTATAAAAAGGTAGCAAAACGTAAGGCAAATAGGGATGACAAAAAAACCTGATTCCCGCAGGCCCCATCCTGAAAGGGACAAGGATTCTCCGCATAATCATATACTTGGGGGCAGGGGCGAGGGTTGTTGCCCCGGGGGAGCAGGAGGGCGGGGCAGGTACAGGGAACATGTTACCCACCCCGTTTAAAATCCATTTCAAGATTAAGGTTGTAATTACATATATAATAATAATAATAATAAATTTAAAAAAAAAAAAAAAATCCCTCACGAGCATTTCTAAAGGGACTATGGACTATTCTACAAATTGAAGAAGAGCAATGATTTTCATAAAACATAAAAAAATAATAATAATAATAAATGGGCTCACCCCTGCCCCGACCCTCGCCCTTGCCTCCTTGAGAAGGGATAGGGGCTGGGCAAGGGAGGAAAAACCCGAATGGGGAGGGGGACAGGAATGACTGCCTCGACCTCCCCCTGCCCTTGCCCCGTTGCCATCCCTAAAGGCAGGACACTCTACTTTTGTCGTTGTCACTTTCTTTCCAACCAAATAGACTTCTTCCCTTCACAGGATTCCCAGTCTTCACTTGAAAATTCCAAATTCTACAATTCCTTGCAGCTGAGCCTTATCATCTTTAAAAAAGTCAGATGACTGGGCAGACTACAGGCGTCTAATGTTCAATAAAAAACAAAAACTGCCTCTAACTTGTGCTAATATTTATCTGTGTAAGATTTTTGTTATAGGTTGTAGTCATACTATTTTTCATTGGCAATTTTTTGTGACCCAACAGGCATTGGTGATCAAGTAGAAGCAGCGATTAGATCTTGCACTGCGTAGTGGAGTGGATGTTTTCCTTGCAGTCATATTACATTCTCCTGGTGAAATGCCAAGCGAAGGAACAACAACTGAGACCTAGGGAAGATAATCGATTGTAACAACTGGGGCCAAGTCGCTGTTATTTCTTCTCAGTCAAATGACATGCTTTCAATAAAGGGAAAATAATTTGATTGTAACATGAGAATATAGTTGTACTTTTCCCGAGTTTTAATGATATCTTAAAAACGATGGCTTCTAAAAGTACATGCTTAACAGTTACAACCATTGTAACCAAAAACCAACAAACCTAGTAATGATAGTCCGTATAAATAACATAAACACTCTTCCCCTGTCTGACCTTTTACAATAATGGTCCCTGCAAGTATGTTGATGCACGACGCCCATGTGCAAGTTTATGCTACAAGGAAATATCTATACCATCTCCATACAGTGCCTCTATTGTGTCTGGTTAACAAATTAGTTCCAAATATTTCTAGATGACCTGAGGTCCTGAACGTTAAACACTGACTCACTAAGCATATGGAAGCTCTCCATGTCTAGAAAGAACATGGAAGACCAATTCAAAGTAAAATGAAATCAAATTCATTTTATTGTTTAAATGATTTCGTTATAGAAGGAAATATTCACAGATTCATTTTTACAGCTAAATCAATCATTATGTATATAGTGTGCTCTATCAATCAACAATTTCAGTGGACTTGAAATTACATGATTTTGACACGACCTGATCATCCATTCCACATTCTAGATTCAGATTTCAAAGATAACCCTCCAATTCAACGAGATAAAAGCTACGATAATTAAAAACCATAAAACTACAAAGAAAATAATGGTTCATCTAAAAGAAAAATTACATCAATAACATCATAAAAAAAAAAAGATAAATTACACAGCTGAATCGTGAAAAAAAAATAATCAAAAAAAATCAATCAATTCATGTAGAAAAAGACTGGGGAGAATCCTTGACTTACTTTTTGTAGGACTCGCTGATGTATCGCCAACTGTTGTAGAAAATAAACCACATCAACACGAGTACCAGTGTATCTTGATGAACATTAAGGAACACGTACAATCAAATTCAACAAAAATACTTCGTACGAGTCCAAAAAATTTCATCTAATCAAATCCAGAAAACCAATCAATTCATCCTCCATGTAACAAACACCTACCGCGTGTACACACAGATCGAGACAAATCGAATCACAAACAATAAGAAATTAACAAAAAAGGATACTGAAGAGGTAACGCTCCCACCAATCCAGCATATAGAGACCAAAAGTTACGTTGTAAAGAAAGATCTTGCGTTGAATCCAGTTCATTTCGATAGAGACCAAAAACTTTCCTCTGTCTAATCGATGAATTTATGACCAGTCTTCGGAAAAGTTCTGCTCATTTTACTAGTTTTTCGTTGTCTGTTTATGGAAATCATGTTCGTAATTACATTTTTTTAGTTGATTATGAAAGGGTAATTATTTTCGGGGAATTCCCAATAATCTAATTTAAAAATGTATTTGGTTAAATGACTTTGACCAATAATAAAAAAAATAAAAAATAAAAAATATTTTAGTTGACAAAATGACAAAATTCTCCTTTAGTTTTTCTCATTTCATCCTGTCATTTCTCCTCTAAATTCACTTTAAAACCCCCCTTTTTTTTAAATAACGTCGTCTTCTTCCCCTTTTCATCTTCTTCAACTTTTTATCCTCAAAATTAAAATCACATATTTTCTTTCTCTTCAATCATCATTCTTACTACCTTAAAATTATGTTCTTTGTTATATTATTCACTTATTTTGAGTATCTTTTGAGTAAAGAAAGATGCTCTTAGAAATCGTATTTATGTTATATTTTTTATTATTAAACAATATTTAGTTAGTATTGTTTTCGTATTTAGTGTATTTTTTGTGTTATATGCAACCATTGGATATAATAGCACTCCAATTGCTATATGAAATACAAAACACCACTCAGTGACACTACAATCGTCATTTGCTATAGTTTGATTTTATCAATAAAATGACCTTTAATAATAGATTCGCTAACGTATATAATACAAAAAAATTGACTAGTCATAAAGAACGATTGAAATGACATGTTTTATATTATTGAGATGATAAAAGCAAAAGTCATCACACTTCTATGTGTCGATTAAATTAATGAACATATCTATCAATTTTTGTACGTGTCATGTACATCTTATAACATAAATAAGTTTCACTTATTATTTTTAGGGAACAAATGGACCGTAACTGCTCATAATCGTATTTATGCACATAACAGCACAAGTGTCGTTTTCATGTCCAGTGACGACACTTGTGTCGTTCCGAAAGTTTCACATATATCCGATTTTTTCAACAAAATAACATTTAATAATGAACTCCCTAACATATGTTACGGGCATGAAAATGTTTATGCTTTATTAGAAGTCCAATGTTTGAAATCATTATGTTGGAATAAAATCAAAATACAGGAGAAATCAATAGAATAGCACAAGAGCCGTTACTGAAATGAAATGACCATTCAGTGTTCTATCTATAAATATGAGTTGAGAAATATGCTCATTAATCGTTAGTCTAGCCTTCCAATGATGGCACAGCTGTCGTTATGATCGTAAATTTACTTGTCTATGAGAACAACACTTGTGCCGCTACTAAGATTAGAACGTCTATAAAAACTTTATAACTATCACTATGCTTGTAAATATAATTATCTATGAAAATGGCACTTGTGTCGTTGCTGAGATGAAAGGTCTTTGAGAACGGTATTAGCTTCGTTACTAGAATTAAAAGTTCTAAAAGAGCGGCATAAGTGATGTTACCAAAATATAAACTTCTATTATTACTGTGAGAACAACACAACTTAAGGTGTTCAATTCGAAAGGTCGTAGCTCTAGAAACAAACGAAATATAAAGGAGAAATCAATACAACAGCTCAAGTGTCGTTATTGATAATAAAACGGCACTTGTGCCATTCTATCTATAATTACGAGTTTAATCAGCCACAACCGTCCTCGAGTCAAAGAATAATAGGTTGAACTCAATTAAGTTGCAAGGTGACCTAACATGTAAAAAAATTAAGAGATATGCTCATTACTTTTATTTTGTTGAAAATAATAGAATCACTTGTACTTTCAACAACTTTATATCAAATAATTTACATCATTTCAATCGTTCTTTGTCGCGTGATTTATTTTTCTCACGTACTTTACAGATCCAATGCTTGAGGATGAAATGTCATTGAGAAGGACACTTGTACTGTTATTGAAATGAAAAGTTCTAAAAGAACGGAACAAGTGCCGTTTGGATGATGAAAATGTCATTAAAAACGACACTTCTGTCATTTTTGAGATGAAAAGTTCTAAAAGAACAATACAAGTGCCGTTATCGAAATATAATTTCTCCATGAGAATGACATTTGTGCTGTTATTGAAAAAAAAATTACACTTGTGTCGTTCTATCTATAAATACGAGTATAGATAAACTTAAAACTCACTTCAGCTGCAAAATGGATATGCCGTTCACAAAAATTGAGAGATATGTTCATTAATTATACTTTCTACGAATCAATACAATGACTTGTGATTTCACCAACTCGATATCGTATAACTTATGTCTATTCAACCGTTCTTTATTAAGTTATCAACATTTCTAATTTTCTTAAGTTAGATGATCCATGTTTGAGGTCGTTACGTTGAAAAATAAGCAAAATATTTGAAAAATGAACAGAACGACACAAGAGCTGTTAAACAACACTTATGTTGTTATGTCTATAAATACGAGTATACGTAGCCACGACCCATCCATGCCCCATGAATCAATAAGTTGAACTCATTTCAATTGCAATATGAACATTCCATTTACAAAAGTTGGAAAATGTGCTCATAGATTATATTTTCTAACGAATCAGTACAATGGCTTGTGATTTCACCTGCTCAATGTCGTATAATCTATATCAATTCAACAATTATTTGTCACGTGATCAACATTTCTAACTTTCTTAAATTAAGGGGTTCATGTTTGAGGTTGCTGTGTTGAAAAAGAAGCAATTTTTTTTAGAAATCAACAAAACGACACAAGAGCAGTTAAATGACACTTGTATCGTTCTGTCTATAAACACGAGTATACGTAGCCACGACTCATCCATGCCCCAATAATCAATAAGTTGAATTCATTTCAATTGCAATATGAACATTCCGTTTGCAAAAGTTGAGAGATGTGCTCATTGATTATATTTTTTAACGAATCAATACAACGACTTGTGATTTCACCAACTCAATGTCGTATAATCTATGTCAATTCAACCGTTATTTGTCACATGATCAACCTTTCTAACTTTCTAAAGTTAGAAGGTCCATGTTTGAGGTCACTGCATTGAAAAATAAGCAATTTTTTTTAGAAATCAACAGAACAGCACAAGAGCTGTTAAATGACACTTGTGTCGTTCTATCTATAAACACGATTATACGTAACCATGATCCATCCATGCTTAAAGAACGAATAAATTAAACTCATTTAAGTTGTAAAATGGACGTGATATTTACAAAAGTTGAGATATATGCTCATTAATTATATTATAATGAACTAGTAGTGTAACTTATATTTTTATCAACTCAACATCATATAATCCAATCATTTAAATCATTTTTTGTCACGTGATTAACGTTTTTATCTTACGCACGTTAGTGGGTCTAATGCTTGAAGTTTTGAGTTTAAAATAAATCAAAATATAGAAAAAATAAACAGAATGACACAAGTGCCATTACTGAGAAGAAAACGACACATCGGTCGTTTTGTTTGTAAACACAATTATAAAACGGCCACGTCCTATTCACGACTCCAAGAACCAATAAATTGAGCTCATTTAAATTGTAAGATGAGCATGATATGTGCAAAAGTCGAGAGATACACTTATTATTTATATTTTAATTAATCAGTAGAATAACTTATACTTTCTCCAATTCGATATCACATGATTTATAACATTTCAATCGTTATTTATCATGTGAATAACTTTTTCATTTTATTTATGTTAGATGGTTCAATACTTGTTGTCTTTGTTTTGAAAATAAATCAAAATATTGGAAAATTCAACGGAATGACATAAATTCCTTTATTGAGAAAAAATGACCCTAGTATCGTTCTAATTATAAATACGAATACAAACATTTACGCCTCATTCGTGTCTCAATAAATAATAAGTGAAACTTGTTTACATTATAATATGTACATGAAATGTACAAAAGTTAAGTAATATGTTCATTAACTTAATCGACGCATATGAGTAGGATGACTTGTGCTTTCACCATTTCAATAATATAAAAGTTATGTCATTTTAACCGTTCTTTATGATATTGTCAACCTTTCTACGTTATATACATTATGGACTCCGTTATTAGAGGTTATTTAATTGAAAAGGATTAAATATAGGTAAAAATTCTAAACGGTACAAGTGTTGTTACTGGACATGAAAATGACACATGTGCTGTTACATGTGTAAACACGACTATAAGTAGTTATGATCCATACGTGTCCCTAAAAAATAATAAGTTGTACTTATTTATGTTGTGATATGCAAATAAAATGTACAAAAATTGATATATATGCTCATTAATTTAATTGACACATAAGAGTATGACAACTTATGATTTCACTATCTCAATAATATAAAAACTATGTCATTTCAATATTTCTTTTTGACATAGTCAATTTTTCTGTGTTATTTATGTCAGTAGTTCATTATTAGAGATTGTTTCGTTGAAAAAAAATCAAATCACAGTAGATAACGACTGTAGTGCCGTTTTACGCAACGAAAAACGACTGAAGTGACATTTTACGTTTTGGATAACAGTTGGAGTGTCATTACCATCTAATAGTTGCAAAAAACGAAAAAAAAAATATACTAAGTATAAAAACAACACCAATTTAAATATTATTCAATAATTAATGGACAATTTATATAAGATTTTTAAAAATATATTTCTTCTTTCTTCAAATCTAAATGGGATCTTTCAATATAGATGATAAATGTTCAAAAGATATCCAAATATGTGAAGAATATGATGAAGAATAGAATTTTAGAGTAGCAAGAATGGTTGAAGAGAAGAATCAGGTTACTGTGATTTTGGGACCAAAAATTGAATTGGGGAATTTCATTGGATTGATAAGGGTGTTAGAGTCTTTTCTAATAATGAGGGTATTTATGACATTTGACATTATTTGTTTATTGTGCTTAATAGATGAAGGCTAATTTTTCAAAAAAACATTAAAAGGAGGTTATATAATCAATAACATTGTTTGACTAGGTTCTTTAACAAATTCCCCCATTATTTTTCCTCCCTTTTTTTATTTTTTTATGTCAGGAAGTATAAAATTTATATTTTGTAATTTATAGGCAATAGATCAAAGGGTCACTAAAGTGCAATTAATATTTGAAATTGGCATTTACAGAGCATGTTTATTTTCCATTTTCATACTAAGAATGCATTTTCAAATGATTGATTGATGAGGATGTGTAGTTAAAGGGTGTTTGAGACTCATTTTTATGTAAAAATGTATTTTAGAATAGTAAAATGATGGAAAGTGTGTGGTTGAAAAATGAGGAAATTTTTTTGATTTACGTGTGATATTATTTTAATAAAGAATGTGTGGTTGAAAAGAAGATAGAGGAAAATGCATTTTGAAAAAAATGTGTACCAAACGGGACTTAAGAAATAAAAAAAAATCTTAGTTTTGCCTGTAATATTATTTTATTAAAAATTATGGTTGAAAAAAAGAGAGAAAGATAAGGTATCAAATAAGGGCATAGTATTATTTTCACTCATTCTGTTTAGACAAGAAATGAATTTTTCGACATGCCTCGATTCATGTCATTTTGATGAGTATACCCCGACTGCATAGAACTAAGATGCCGAACATATTGACAACATAATGTAGGGATAGTTATCAACATTAACCACGAAACACTAAACGTACCCTTTCTCGAAAGAAATGAATATGGACGGAGGAAAGACACGCGATCAATGAATGAGACGCCATTGATCACCAGTGGCGAATCTAGCATCAACATTCAGCTAGGGCGGAGGTTGACTTTGAGCATTGACCATCGACGATCGTAAAAGCCCGGTCCGGTCGGTGGCCGATCGTTTATTAAAATTAGATTAAATAATATTATAAATTATTCAATATATATATGTAAATGCACTAAAATCTAGAAAATATATACATATGAAAATATAGTTTAATACAAGCCAAAATGCTAAAAAAAATACGATACAACCTTACTCTGAAATTGCAAGTTTAGATAACTGAATTCTACGAGGTCGCATATTTTGAAAACGTTGCAATATTGTCTCATTCTCAAGTTTCATAAAAAGATCTCTCTCCATGTAAACTACCAAATTGTCATTCAACATTTCATCTCCCATTTTGTTGCGCAGATCATTCTTGATTAGATTCATAGCAGAGAATACCCTTTCAACACTTGCAGTTGCCACTGGTAATATCAAAACTAATGTGATCAGCCTATAAACCAATGGAAAATAACAAGAACTTCCAATTTCAACCAACTTCTGAGCTACACAAGATATGTTTTTGAGGTTGAAGAAAGCTTCATCCATTCTCACGAGCATAAGAAACTTGTCAAGTTGAGGTCTAAGTAATAAAAGCTCTTCACTATTGAAATCCATAGGATATAACTGAGCAAGTCGAACCAATTTACATACATCAAAAGCTGCAAATGAATCTCTTGGACTTAAACACGAAATGCAAGTAAAAAGTTCAGTAGTTGTTTCTGGAAAACGATCATTCAACTCTTGCAAGATTGAATCTATCACATAACAAAACAAATCAACATAAAAACAATGATAATAAGTCACCTGCTGACTTGCACGCCTAGGTCGACCTTTCGATACTAAAATATCATCTATATTGGACACTGAAATGTGTCTATCAACACAAAACTGAATTACCTTACTCAACAAAGTATCCCAACCATTGTCTCTCATGTTCTGCAATGCGTACTTACACAACTTCAAGAATCTCATAGCATTCTGAATATCCTGATCATTTTTCTGTAAGGCTTGTGAAAGGTCATCTGTAATTGCAAGAATTTCAAATATAAAATGGAGACTGAACACAAATTGAAAATCTTGCATAATGTCCATCTGTCTGATGGCCATTGATTTTTGTTGTAAACTTATGCCGTCTTCTGATATATTCTCAAGAACATCTATGATCGCATTAAACATACTAATAAAGCGAGTAACTGTCTTTAGATGTGAGCCCCATCTAGTATCACCTGGACGTGCCAAACTCATTTCTTGAAACTGACCAGTTCCACCAGAAAGTTCTTCAATATTAAGCCTCTCCAGAATTTCAACATGATAACTTGTTCGAAGAGCATCTACACGTTTACATGACGCACCAACCAAATTCACAATAATAGCAAGCATGTTAAATAAATCACTAAGCATAACATTCCTATGTGCCACAGAAACAACTGCCAACTAAAGCTGGTGAGCAAAGCAATGAATATACATAGCACATGGGTTCTCTCTTAAAATTAAAGCTTTTAAACCATTGAACTCACCTGACATATTGCTTGCTCCATCATAACCTTGACCTCTCAGACTAGATATGCTCAACCCATGTGTAGAAAACATTGCATCAATGGCATCCTTGAGTGATTGGGCACAAGTATCAGCGATGTGGCAAATACCCAATAAAGGCTCCTTCACTTGTCCACTTTTGTCAACAAATCTCAAAACAACTGCCATTTGTTCTTTTACAGAATTATCACGCGACTCATCAACCAAAATTGAAAACAAGGAATCGCCCATCTCATTGATCATAGACCTTATCGTCTCAACAGCACAACAATTAACCAAATCCTTATGGATGTTTGGTGAAGTCATTTGGTCATTTCCAGGAGCATTACTAAATAGTACTTCATTAATTTTCTTACGACAAGTTGCATACCAATTTAGTAGCTTAATCAGATTTCCTTTATTAAGAGACTCTTTCGATTCATCATGACCACGAGATGACAATCCTTGCATCAAGAGAAATCTAGTACAGTCTAGCACCGCAGTTAACCTTGTCCTATAGATTTTTTGTTGACTACTACTTTGACTAGAAATAACATGGGAGATACTTTGCTTTTGATTCATCAAATTGGTACAGTTTGCAAAAGCTTGATTATGAGCACTATCAATGAGCCCGACCTGGATCAGATATAAGATCATCTACATTGAATTGAGCCCGAGACTTCTTTGTGCTATTTAATAACTCGAGTGCTCGGCTAGAAGCAGTGGCGGGACTAGAAGCACAACTAGAACTAGGAGAACTAGGTATAGACTTTCGTTTCGGTTGAAAAAATCGTTCCATAATCTGCAAAATGCCCCAATTTAATTTTCAATTACAATTGATTAAAAAATCAACAATTCAACAAAAAAATCCCCTCCACTGATGATCAACAATTCAACAATTTTCATTTTCATTAGCTCGATAGACAATACAATAGGATCCAGTACAATAGCATTAAAGCAGAAAATAAATTAACATCTGGTCCAAATTGTCCAATGGATGCCGTAGAGTGCAGTACAATAGCATTTTCAACTCATTCACAGATCACTTCGAAGTTCACATAATCAGTATTGCAAAATATATAAAAATGTATTGCAAATTCAACTCATTCACAGATTCACTTCGAAGTTCACATAATCAGTTAATCACTTAATAAATTCCCACAAGTATTGCAATTTGCAAAATATATAAAAATGTGAAAATTTTTAGTGCTGGAGCCTGGACTGGAGAGTGCAGCCAAAATGAAATCCAAGATTTTTGGAAAATTAGATCAATATGACAATAGCATGAATCAGAATCACCGAACATCAATAATCAATTCATCAAATAACTAAAAGTTTAAAAGAATCTTGCATTTTTTGAAGAAGAAGAGTGCGAGGTGACCTGTATCGCTGTGCCTGTGCGAGCTGCCTGCCTGCTTCACTGCCTCACTGGACTGTCTGGACGCCGGACGGTGTCGGTCTGGACTCGGCGGTGGCGTCTGCTGGCGGACCTGGCTGGCGACTGGCGACTGGCGCTGCGCACTCGTCTGCTGGCTGCCTCACTGCCTGGCTGCTGGGCGGATGTAAACCGTAGGGGAGTCGGCAGTGGCGAACGCCCTAGATCGGTAAATGGTATTAATGGTAATGGATTGGTGCCTTTGGTGGGTGCTAGGCTGGTAGCAATTTGGGGAAAAATATGGAAACCTTGAATCTTCAATTTGGTCAGTGGTCACTCTGTCTTCGCCCGTCTCTGCTTCGGGTTTGGGATGTAAATTGTGGGTATATTGCTGGAGTGGAGCAGGCCGGTTATTTGGGCATCTTTAATGGGCTTGATTTAAAAAAAAATAAAAATTTGAAGCCCAATTCCAACAGCCCAACAAGCAACAGGCAAAAAAAAAAAAAAAACTGTTTTACCGTCTGATTTCTGAACTGTTTTTCCGGCTGCCGGCTGGCGGTTCCGGCGAAGCCAGCTAGGGCGGCATAAGCTACATCCGCCCTGTTGATCACTATGGTCGAGGACTGCCAAGAGTGGATTTTTATTTAGGGGGTGTTTGAGAGTCATTTTTATGTAAAAATGCATTTTAGAATAGTAAATTGATGTGAAATGTGTGGTTGAAAAATAAGAATTTTTTTTATTTACGTGTAATATTATTTTAATAAAAAATGCGTGATTGAAAAGAAGAGAGAAAAAAATGTATTTTGAAAAAAATGATTACCAAACGGGACCTTAATTGGCTTTTTAGCTTTTCAAACGACGAGTGAGAAATGGCATTCTAAGGGACTTTTTGTCCATTTGGGTACCATATTTAGCCCTTGTTTGACCACATTTTTTGAAAATGAAAATGGGTTATATGCCTTAGCCCAGCCCACCATATAAGTCAACTCCTACTCATACACGAGTGAGCTACTCGTTTTCTAAAATCTCGACTTAATTCACCTCAAACTTGTCCCTTGAGGTTCATCAAATTTCATTTTCACATCGATTACAAGTTGACAGCCTAACACACGAGCCAACTTACGTGACAAGTTTTTGTCGTTAAACTCTCGCTTACAACTCACTTCAAGAGCGAGTGAAGTTAGCATGACTTGTTTGTGAGACAAGTCGAACCGAACAGTGACTCTTCCCACTCTAGGGTCATGTCGCATCAGAAATTTTATTTTATTTTTATGATGAGAGAACTCGCAGTCGCTACCCTTTGAGTGTGCACGGGATAAACATTCGAATGACGTAATAGTCTGCAAACCACGCGCAACTAGGTAAATCGAACTAGACAAGCCTTGAATATTATCATAAAATTTTGAATATTTATCTAAAATTTGTGAACAGTAAAAAAATCTGAACTCAAATTAGTAAAGAAAAATTTAACCACAATTTCCTATGTAAGAAACGATGCCATTTTTCATCCATTGCTAACATAATAATTGGATTAATTAATTAGCACAAAAATCATTTAGAGCCCAGTCTGGGACTATTTTGAAGAATTCGCCAAAATCACTCCCCACCACGGCAAAACAGTGAGGGATACGCTCAAACGCAGTGGCAGACGGGCGGTGCAGCAGTGCCTTCAGTATTGATTCACATAACAGAGAATTAGCAAAACCCTCGACGAAGAAAAATCCCCAAAATCAATCATGGACAGTGCTCTCGCCAGCGCCTCAGCGATCAGTGACCAGCGGCAAAAGATCGAACAGTATAAGCACATTCTCGCCACCGTCCTCTCCTCCAACGAAGTCGCTCAGGCCAAACAGTTCATTGATCACGGTTCATCAACTTTTAGCGTTTTACTTTTTCTCATTTCTCTTTTTGATTATTTATTTACAGCATTTGTTTTATTCTGTCACTATTTGTTAATGCTTGTAACATTTAATTTTTTGGATTTCTTCAGTGTTATCGGATGATGTTCCGCTTATGGTATCAAGGCAACTTATACAGACATTCGCCCAAGAGCTCGGGAGGTTGGAGCCAGAGTTTCAGAAGGAGATTGCCCGTTACACCCTCAACCAGATCCAGCCTCGGGTTGTTTCTTTTGAAGAACAGGTGAACTTTTCAAGCACAGTACTCTATCTAATTTCAGTCAAGACCCTTTGCAAATGTAGTCAGTATTTTTCTTTGTTGAGCTAAAAAATATATAGTCCAGACTGTAAATGGAAATTTATGAGCTTCTAGATTCGTGCTAAAGCAGCTGAATGTCTAGGCGATAGATACTTGCCCCAATATATAATGTAAAGAATAAGCTGTCTCTATGGTGATGGCCAATTACCTATTGCTTCTAAACCCTGGAAATGGTTTATGCCCTGCTATTAAAGCAATTGAATATTTAGGATGATTTTAGTTTGTTTTGTCTTATCTGATCAGAATCATCTTTAACAGTAGCTGATTTGTATGAAGTGATGCATGTGGGAGTATGTGATTAGGTAATATAATTATCGAGATATGGATGTTTGGAAGAGGAATTGTTTACAATATGGTACTTGCACATACGTGATACCTTGGATTTGATATAAATGATGTTGAAATAGCAAGGACTTTGATAGACTTCGGAGATGGATAATTTCTTTGATGTCTTGCTAGTCATGGAAGTGGATTGCTTTGTTTACAATGAAATGAAAAGGGAGATGGTTGTAGAGATAGTCTTTATGGGAAAGGGAAGCAGCAGGGATAGTGAAATCGTAATGTTTTCGTATAGCTTAAGTTGTCAAGTCTTCAAACTCAAAAGAGTGGGGACTGGCCACTTCACTATTGTAATGAAGGAATAGATCAGTGGACAAAAACTTTCCTACTTCTATATTCTCTGTGTGAAGACGAAAATGCAGACGAAGCGAAGGTCTCATCTCCATCTGCTCTGCCTTACTTGATTGAGTTGCATGCACATATCTGTAAGGGACCACTGACTAAAAAATATGGTCCGGAAGCTTCCTTTCTAGGAGCAGGGCGTCTAGACAAGATCACCGTTTCTCTCAGTAATGGACTTCCTTGAATGCTTCTTAGAATAATATTAGAATTGGTGAATTTCATGCAAAATTTTGAACTCTTGCACTCATTCAAGCTGTATTTCATCCAAGTGGTCTTTCATATATTGAGAAAGCACGTTACTGCTAGATTTTGCAAGATATTGGATCTCCAAATTGGTCGGAAGGAAACTCGTGGAAGGAATCAAGAGGAAATAACTCCCTTTACTTTCCTAATATAGGTATGAAAAGCTGGATATAAGTTATATTTCTTGGCAACAGCGAATCGATACATGCTATTTGTTTGTCACTTTTCAGTTGCAATGGTTCCATTAGGAGGCAGGCTAGCTCCCTTCCCAGAATTTTGAAAAGAAAAGCAATTAAAAAGGGTTTAACTGTCTGCCACTTGGATAAGTTCTACAATGACCTTAGTCTCTTCATTAATTTTCTGCATCTTGGATCTTTTGACTAGGTCTGGCATTGAATAGTATTTTACTCATTTTTATGTGTTCTTCTATTCTATACATTTCCGCCGATAAACTTGGTCAAAGAAGTAGTAACCTGGAAAATCCATTTCCATTGTTATTTTCTGGCTTTAATTTGAGCTGCTTCACCTGAAATTGACACTGTTGGGAAAATGTTGCACTGGAATTTGAATTTTCCCCTATTACCAATTCTTTGGCTACACAATTTCTGCTGTAAACATGAATTATTCATCAGTTATTTGGGCATGTTATATATTGCTGTTTCAGAGTAAGTTTCTTTTTGAGTTTGCACCAGATGGTTGGTAGAGATGTTTCACACTCAATAACTATCATCTTAGATGATCCATATTTAAGATGTTGAATTTTACGAAGCCAGAAAAGAGGAATGTGATCTTTTTATTAGCTCCTAAAGCAACATACCTGCACATTAACCCAAATAGGCTGCACAATCAAGTCATATCGCAGCTTGATTTGGTTAAGTGATTGTGCTTCAATTGCCATCTTAATAATGCTTTTAATTGCTATTTTTGATACCTTCTTCTTTATTCTCTAGTTTGTTTTCTGGATAAATTATCTGACTTTAAAATTTCTTATCAACTCGTGCAATTTCAGGTGTTGATAATTAGAGAAAAACTTGCTGAGTTGTATGAATCTGAGCAACAATGGTCAAAAGCTGCTGAGATGCTTAGTGGCATTGATCTGGACTCTGGAATGAGGTCTGCAGATAGATACGTTTCTCTCATTTTTAGTTAATACATTCTTCATGGAATTTATTGTGACATTTTTCTTTCCTTCTTTCATTTTTGCAGAGCGATTGATGATAACTTCAGGCTGTCAAAATGTGTCCAAATTGCTCGTCTTTACCTTGAGGTATTTCTTGTGTAATTTTATTATTTAGATTTGATGTTACTGAACCTTTTTATGTGGATGCCATGCACGTTAGACATGAAAAATTTCCCCTCAAATGCCCTGCATGTCTGTGAGGATCTACTCTAACCTCTACAAGAATTCATAGAGGCATATTATCAGTGGTTAGAAATTTGTTAGAAATGTTGTCTTTCAGTTCATTAAATTTTATTTGTGTCATTGGGTAATATGCGTAATCTGAGACCATTGATTGCACCCATATGAAGATCTGATGCCAACATTTCCACTCATGAAGTATGTGCTCATTATGCATCGTATTGACAGCAATGGCCAAACTCTTACCTGTAATTCCAAAAGTACTTGTCTTATTTACGTTGCAAATCGTGAAAAAAAAATCCTTATTTATTCTTTTCTATAAAGCATTGACAAATGCTGCATGGTGTTATGAAGTATATATCAATTAGAACTATGGTTATCTCAAAGCTATTTCAAGGATATCCATGTCAAAGTAACTGGGACTTATATGCCCGTTTCTTGATTTTCAGGATGACGACGCAGTTAATGCAGAAGCTTTTATAAACAAAGCTTCCTTTTTGGTTAGCAACAGTCAGCATGAAGTGTTGAATTTGCAGTACAAGGTTGACATTTAAAAAATTTTGGCTCGATGATATGAAGTTTCTAGACTACACTGAATATATTCCTATATTTATCATTTTAACAGGTTTGCCATGCTAGGATTCTAGATTTGAAGAGAAAATTCTTGGAAGCTGCCCTCCGTTATTATGGCATTTCCCAAATTGAGCAGCGACAAATTGGAGATGAGTATGTTTATTTGAAAAGATGTTGATGATAAACTTGCAATTCACTCCATGGTTTTTGTCTCTAATATTTTTATACAGATTTTATTGCACCTAATTGAATCTCAGCTTTATAGTTGTCATATAGCATTTGGTCACAGTTCATACTCATCACACTTCATAGTTATCCTTTGTTTTCCCTTACATAGTTGATTGAATTGAAACCATAGATGTTTAATTTTGTAAATAAAATTGTAAGATAAGCAGGGATAATAAACAAGCATATACTTGACAAATTAACTGACATAATAAGCTTGTGTTGAAGTACTAAATGGAGTGTAGAAACATTGTATATGAACTTATATACCCTGGAAGATATGGTGTTTGTCTTCTGACAGAAGTACTAAATGTGGTGTAAAAACATTATCATTTATACTGGACATGCGTCTTGTTGTCTTTTGACAATCAAAGAGAATACCAATAGAATAGGCCTTTGTGTTTGGATGCCAAACGAGCATAATTTAAGGCAATTTTCGGTTATATTAAACTTATGTAGAGTTATTAGCTATTAACTCTGTGGTCTAAGTTGAAAGAATTAGGTCTTCTGTTCTTAAATTGAAGGCATAACTACTGAAGCCGCATATGCAAACATTATACCTGGACTTATCTATACTGGACATATACGCGTGTATTTTGACTAATGAGAACTGTACTCAAATCGATGTAAAAGGATTAATGTTAATACTAGACATTCGAGGATGAATTTGTCTTCTGACAATCAAAGAGAATACAAATTGAATATGTCGTTCTCTGTGGTGTTGAGAATGTCTAGTGCTAAAAAGATTAATGTCAATACTAGACATACAAGGATGAATTTGTCTTCTAACAATCAAAGAGAATGCAATTTGAATATGCCATTGTCTATGGTGTTGAGAATGTCTAATGCTATTAAATCTGTGCACTACTATGTGTGATCTTATTTATACTCAATTTGCACATTTTAGTGTTATATGTCCTCATATGGAGCACTCTTCCGTCACAGAGAGATTAATGAAGATGCACTGGAGCAAGCCCTTGCTGCTGCAGTAACATGCACAATTTTGGCTGCAGCGGGTCCTCAACGTTCTCGTGTTCTAGCCACCCTTTACAAGGTATGAATAACTACTTTGACGTAGCTTAGTTGTTTTGTCTAATTTTTCCGGTAGACTGTACAAGTTCATATCATTATCTAGATGGAAGTTAAACTTTTCTACGTCATCCAGAATTTCTGTTTGTGTGTCCCAATCAAGAATCTTTTCTTTTGCAAATTTGATTATTATTCTTTAAAGATGTATGTAGTGTTGTTTCTTTGTGAGTTTTCTAGTTTGGAGGATTATTTGTTTCAGTTCACTCTATAGTAGTTGCTAAGATTTTATATGATGTGATTATAGAATTTCTTCACTGCAAATTACAGTTACTTCTCCATTACATGGTATTTTTAGAAATAAAATCACAGTGCATTGTCAAAATGTGCCATGATATCTTAGTTAAATATCTGGTTTAGGTGGACGATGTACAGGCTTCTGCCATTGAGGTTACTAAATAGGACTGTCACCATCAATTTTGCAATATATATTCTAAATGTCTTGTGGATGACTTTTTACCTTCTGTGTTCTGGAGTGAGATTGCCATGATTTTATTTTGAAGCTGTGCTAGATTCAATTTTGCATTATGATGAAATTCTACCTCGTTCTTCAATTCCACCAGGATGAACGTTGCTCTAAGCTAAAGATCTATCCCATCTTGCAGAAGGTAATCTCTAAAATCCTTACTCATAACAAGGACCAACTGCAAAAACAACAAACATCCATGCACATCTCCCTGATTCTGAAATGCCGTTATCCTATGGCGTGTTAATATAAAATTCACACAGATGCTATGGATTAATTAAGGCTGCTTACTGCTGATGTCTTGCATGAAAATTTCCAGGTTTATTTGGAGAGAATTCTGAGGAAACCAGAAATTGATGCATTTGCTGAAGAATTGAAACCACATCAGGTTGCCTTCTTACTCTACAGATGATTTTCGAATATTTTATTTTCTAACTGTAACACATGATTCATCTTGCAGCAAGCACTTCTGCCCGACAATTTTACTGTTCTTGATCGAGCTATGATTGAGCACAATCTTCTGAGTGCTAGCAAACTTTATACAAATATAAGGTGGGTGGAAAAAGTAATGTTATTGACTATTTTTCTCTCAAGTGAAATTGTTTTTGCAGTTAAAGCCAATGATATGAGATTAACCCCTTACGTTACTCCTTTACAGCTTTGATGAATTGGGCAGATTGCTGGGAATTGCTCCTCTGAAGGTACAGTCCCTTGTTACCAAAATAATGACATTACCTAGTGCAACATGTACAGACAAATAAGACAAGTGTACTAGAATTGTATGACCACAGTTATGGAAAGCTAGATGTGGTTGCTAGCTTTAACCATGAGCTTGATTGGCCAATTCAAGCTTCTGTCATATTCAGCTTTATTTCTGTCTGGCTGTCCATGTTACTTGCCTAGTTTTCCAAGTAAAAAGCCTGAAAATACTCAACTAGTTTTGAGGGGCTTTTTGAAAAGTGAACTTCATATTATCCTATGTCTTATGGAAGCTCGTGAAATGTTATTAGTTAGATATTCTCGTTTCACTGAAAAGCTATAGAATAGGATGCTCGCAATTGCCTATTTAGCCTTCCAAGCTGCTAGCGTTCCAAATTTCGGAATGATTTGTACCAATTTGTGATTTCTCTAGGACCTAAAAGTATGTTTTTGCTAGTGCCTTAAATTTTGTTGCACCCTACTTCATTCTTGGCTTTCCTTGCTCTTCTTTGCTACGTAGTTGTACACCGGTATATTCACACATCAATCATATATGTTGATGCTGTTCTCTTACATAAAGGTAGTGGGAGGTCCATCCTAAAACCTCTTAAATACTTATTCAACCTTTGTGCAGGCTGAGAAAATAGCTTCAAAAATGATCTACGAAGACAGAATGAGGGGATCTATTGATCAGGTAGAACTTTCATTAAAATTGAAGTGTAAAATTTCTGAGGCGTTTCATTAATCCTTCTCATCATATCCTTCCTTGCATATATCAATTCAATTTATTGAAAACTTCTTTGATGGGCCACTCATTGTACTCCTTTCCCCCACTAAAGTGTTTGAGAGTTGTGTTCTTTGTTAAAGTTGATGATCTTTTGAAAGAAAAGTTATTTTCTTCCTTTCTAATGGCATGCTAAACATTGTAGTGAACATCATTTTATAAGGAGTTCAACAGTTACGTAACAATTCTCTGTGCCAGGTTGAAGCTGTCATACATTTTGAGGATGACACAGAGGAATTACAACAATGGGATCAACAGGTAAATGCTTGCTATTGTTAACAAGTTTTTCTATTTGATTGGTTTGTTACATTTATAAATTTCACAAAGCAAATATGAGAAATCATTTGCTAACTCTAATCAAGTGTTCTATGTTGTAAGATGAATTAAAGCAAATTGGTAATGTTCCACTCTTTATGTGATTTAGTTAGAGCATATTGGAATGAGTAACAGTAGAATTACGTACTTCTGCATCTATTAATTGCCTTGAGCTGATTTTGCTGACATTGGACGTTATTTTTTGGCAGATTGTTGGATTGTGTCAAGCGCTGAACAACATTCTTGATGGTATGGCAACGAAAGGCTTACCAGTTCCTGTCTAATGTAGCTTTCATTTCAACTTCTATACATGTTATCCTTTAATAGATTCAAGCTCTTTCCCAAAGTAATCGTGTCATATTGCAAGATTTGACACTTTTTTAGCACAAGGAACATCGATGTGTTAATTGACAATCTTTTGGTCCCATGGTTATCAGTTTGAATATTTTTAGTTCATTATTGAGTTGGTCCGCTATTGAACAGTAAAATAAATTAATATTCCTCTCAAATCTTTGAATGGATGTGGTTTTAACACTTTTTCAAATTGAAAGGTATCGACTAGGTATAACAGCAGAATCTGTGTACTTTCCAGCCTTCATCTGGATTGTTGGTTGATTTATATGGGACGTCAAAAGGTGAGCATCCAGATGGGAATTGGGGCCTTTCGTCTGCTTAAATTTTGCCCATGTCTAGGCTTCATTTTTTTATTTTTACTAAGGCCCTATTTGATTGGTTCGAATCCCATGGAATTCAAATTCCACATTTTTCCAATTTTGTGTGTTTGATATGTTTTATTTTCCATGAAATTGTATTTTCTTGCTTGTATTGGGAATTGGTATTTTCTTGATTTTCAAATTGTAGCATTTTTTTTTATTTTTTTGTCAAAGTTAACAAATTCTAAGAATTATTGTAAAAAAAATATATTTTTTTTAATTGACAATTCTTTTGTAAAACAAAGCCAAATGAAAATCGACGGATGGATGATTTTTTTGATTTTTTTTGGCAATAGAGACAAATTTCATCCTCAATATTAGTAAATTCTATCTCTTTAATTGACGATTTTCATATAAAACAAAGATAAATGAATATCAAAAAATATTTTTAATTTCAACATTTTTCAAGTGGAAAATCATGCTAATTAAAAACAATAATTTACAATTTTTAGAAAAATAATTTTTAGGCAATTCAATTTTTTAAAATTTGTTTTTAATTCAATTCAATTCCATCTTTATAATCAAACGGACCCAAAAAATTTTCGATTACATATAAATCCATAATTTATTTTTACTTTTACTTTTTAATCGCATATTTTTTAAATAATTACTATTTCAAAATACGTTTTTCTTTTTAATGGAGCTCACTCTCACATGAGATCATTGAGCTTTGTTTGCTCTCGCTCACATAAGATCATTGAGTTCAAACACCTTTGGTGCGGAGACGTTAGTGTACAATACAATTAATAAGAAAAACTTACGTTTAAGCCCAATCAAACCTCGTTTGCACAAAATTCTCAATTTTCTAACATTAACTAGAGTTATACAGATGTTTTACGGAACACACCCAACAGTGGGGTCCATTCCAATAAAATATTCACGTGGAGTACACCCTCATGTGTCTACCCCGTAGAAAATCTTCCAACTACAGTTAGAGGAACCACAATGAATTCGAGAACAGTATATGCTTAGAAAAATTGAACCATAGAATGGCAATCGGGTCAGTTTCAACATAAACAATGACAGTGCCATAAAACGACATAAAAATATGAATTCACGGATAAGAACCCGTTTCCCAGATTTAAATAATTGCAACAGATGACAAAACGCAAGCAAAAGGATCACATTTCAAAATCCCAGGTAGTCTCAGCACATAATTTTGGCATTTTTTGCTCCTCTGCCAAATTAAGGGATGCTGAAATCTGGAAAGAAAAATGACAGGAAAATAAAAAAGGTTAGAAGTAATACAGTTAAGAGACAATCCCAACAATTTTAATGCTCACTAGCAATTTGTATCAAAAGAAATGCTATTTACTTGATTATGAAATCGAAGTTATTAACAAATCATTGGCCAACTTGGAAAGTTAGCTTAAAATATTCAGAAGAGGTCTGAACCCACACCAGTGCATCTGTGAATCAGGGCAAAAACAAAACCAAAACATGCATACGTATCTACATGGAACAGCGTATACTTGATAATCAAGAGAGATAACTCAATAAAACAATTGATGCAATGGAAAAACAAGATTACATAACATGTACACGACTCATTTAAAAATAGACATAGGCACACATAGGAAACACCAAGACAGTATAGAGCACGTATGACTAAACTTTAATATATGGGGTCATACGTGCTCATAATATCACTATAATCCACAATTGCCAATTAAACCGTAATAGAAAAATGGGAAACTGGGTATTATAGCATGATTGCATTAACTGACTCGTACTCCTACATCTCGATGAGTGTTACTAACATCGATTAGAATGATAATTCAGTTTTAGCTTGAAAATTTTAAACATGCTATAACCATTAAATTATATCAGAGCGATAAGTGCTCCCCATCAGTTTCAATGTTCAGAATTTCAACATTGACCTGCCTCAATTATTCTATTGAGTAACTTCTGCTTTATTCACACCTCCAACTAAGAACATACACGATCTTAAGAAACTGAGAAGTACAAACATTGCAATTCCATAATTGCAAAGGATGGAATGCCTACAGTTGGGAAATTTAAAAGGGGCAGTCTACACAAATGGATATCTAGTGTTCACCACCTAAACAACTATTTCCCGGAGCTTTTTCATTCATAAAAGTAAATAATACTCATCATGGCTGTATTCGTGGCAAGCTAAAGTTTGATAATTTTCTAGACTGTTCACAGATCACCCTAAGCCTGCCTTTAAAAACTTTAATTTGATGGAGAAGTAAACTCAGACCACATGCTATAGTTACTCTTTCTTATTACAGCGACTGCTCAAGCATGCTTAGATGTACAGATCTTTTCATTCATTTTCGACAATTAGGCATCAGCCGTGCCTAGATAGCTAGATCTCTTGGGCAGAGAGTATGGATAAGGGTTGGGAGGAAACTGACATTTGTCTTTTCATAATGAAAAGAACCTTCCAACTGCTGATAGGTAATGCATCAATTGTACAACTATCTGAGTGCATGTGAAGTAACCTTAATTACATGTCTATTTGCAGTTAAAAGCTGCTGTGCTTAGGTAGCGTGATTAGCCAACAAATAATACTATCATGATAATGTTATATTTGAAATTTAGTATATACAGTGTTTAGAGAATCACAACCACACAACTAAATAGCTGCATAACATGCTACAAAATTCATAACCTTTTTGTACAATTTTGGAAGAGCACCACAATCCATCTACACTTGTACAAGACACATGTAGGTCAATTATATATAACAAAAGAATCCTCGTTATATGCAATGAGGAAAGAAAGGTAGCATAGAAGAAAAACTGAGTTTAATAGATTAGGGATTTTTCTTAAGAAGGTCAAGGTTTATTGAGATCTACTCAACAAGTTATAAACTGTCTATTACCATCTCTTTCTGACAAATACGTACTAGTGGGCACGTGTCAAGTCGCCATAAATGCCATAAATCTCAAACAGCGTCAACATACAAGACCAAAGAATATCCTCGGTGGTTAAAACCTATCTTCAATGGTCATCAACAGCCCATTTCTCTCCATTTAAAAGATTTTTGCTAATGCCCACCCATATTTTTAATCTGGCTCTGCATTTGATATAACTAGCCAGAGACAAAAACCAATTAAGCTTCGGAATTAAATTAATATGAAATTAACATTGCACTGCAAGCTATTGTCACTACAAAGCAATCTAATATTGTTTTCGCCATTTCAATACCATTCACTATTTAAATCAACACACAGATGCATGCATAATGAATTGACATTTAGCGGATCGTCCACATCAACCAGCATCAACAATCTAATAGAGAAAAGCAACATGCCAATTTCTGACATAAACGTAAGATTAAACAACAATTGCATTTTACCTTAAACGATCCATTCAGCTTCGAAGTCCGCGACCATTCCAAACCCAAATTCTTACTTGATGTCTGATATGTAGCCCGGAAGAGATCATCCCCATAAACTTTACGTGCAACCATGAAATCCCACGAATTCCTCCCCAAATGATAACTGGGCTCAAAAGTAGTCAAACCTCCATGCACATAAGTATACTTTAACTTAGCATTCCCCGTCCCTAACACGTGATTTGCTGAGACTTTGTTAGCTGGATCAAGCACCAAACTCCCATCCAATATTGTCCTGTCATCACCCTTACTGTGAATGTAAGTCAAGTTTACTGGCTTCTCAGCTACCCTTACTGTGTTCATAAATTGAAACCTGAGATCCTAAAATTTCCCAAAAAAAAAAAACAAAAAAAAAAAAAACAGACACACTTAAGAACCAACATTAAATTATGATAACAAAAACCAAGCACTGCTCCTGATAAATTTGGAATTGGCTACATGTATTTGTTGCTAGATCTAAAGCAACCAACTAAGTCAATTTTGGTCTACACTTCAAAATCGATCTGCTGAAATTGTGTATTTAAGATTCATATATTATAGCCGTGCCTCTTAAATTACTGACCATTAGTTACTAACTACTGATTGCTGCATAAATTTCGAGTCAGCCCAATTATCAGTAGTTAAAGACCAGAATAAAACAATAACAACAAAAATTAATAAGAAAATGTTGAAAGTGGTAAGGGATTTTTCAGTTTGTTGATTACTTTTTTGGGAACGTTGTAATCGATGATAAAGAAACCAGGTTTTTCAACGGCCAAGGCTAAACCGTTTAAACAGGGGCCGTTGACAATGGTGGCGTCGGTCATGGAGGCGCGCAGTTTGAAGTCTCCGGCATTGGCGGTGACGGTAGCGAAGGCGGCGGCCTTGTCTGGCTCATATCTAGCTTTGAACGACGCCTTCATTTCTGTATTCTTTTGATGATTGTTTAGTTTGGTAATTCTGATCCTTTGAATTGTTTCGGATTTTTCAATGAGAATTGGCGGCTCACCATAATCACTTTAGTGTCTGTTGCACTGAATCATTGCTCACCCTTTTTTTATTTTTGTCTTAATTGATTTAAATTAAATTTTAATTTAAGTCAAAATCAAACAATTAATATTAACCACATATTATATGAGTCTCACAATTTTTCTACCATATATTTAAAAAATTTATATCAAAATCTACTAAAAATTTAATTTTAATTCTCACCAAATGAGAATCACCTTTACAAGCATTTTGTGCACATACTCCAATGCTCTTTTTATTTTTAAATCTTTAATTTGCTTTTCTAATAAGAATTTATTATTTTACCCACCGCCTTCATGTAGGGATGGCAAACAGAACAAATCGCTCGCGAGTTTGACTTGCTTGAACTCGACTCATGAGCTGTTCTGATTTGTTAGGAATGAGTTCAAAGTCGAGCCCTAAAAAATTTGACAAGCCTAGTCGCTCGTGTTAAGTGCTCATAGGCTTGGCTCATTTTGGCCCATGATCTGCTGAACTCGTGGGCCAAACGATCAACAAATATGACGCATTATTCAAATTTTTTTACACTTTACGATGATCATTTTTGTTTTTATAATTCTATTTATATTAATAGACCTTCCAAATTCCTTTGTTTTTTTCATCCCACAATTCTCTCTACGTTTTATATTTCTCATTCAATTCTAATATTCTAATTTCAACAATACAATTAGGTCTTGCAATTCAATCTTACATTCGAGTAACTAGTTCTTTTATTGCACAATTTTGAGTTGCATTATCTTTAAATAACACTAGCCAATTTCTAGTTTCTTTCATATACTATTCCAATTTCCAATGGATTACACTAGATTGTTGGTCCCTATTGCGTTCAAACAAAATTTGGTGCCTCCAACACATCAGAAAGTGCTCGGACTCCCACTCTGAATCCCCCATTAAATCACAATTCTAGCGATCTTTTAATGACATTTTAAATTTTGATGATTTAAACGACAAACATGTGCATGGGAGCCCTAATCCAATTGATTCAGATAACATTGAAGATGAAGAAACCCATATAATAGTTTTAAATAGTAAACGATAAATGAAAATATACATTGCTAAATATTGAGGACACTTAAATTGACGGTCATGGTCAAGTAAATAGAAAGACAAATTACAAAACAGTATGCCGGTATTGTAAAGAAATGTTTAATCCAAAACGGAGATTGGATCCTTATCAGTCTCAACACCAATTTGGTTACCATGGCTAGCAGCTAGGTCTGGTCACGAGAGGTGTTGCGCGAAGGTATGATTCGTAACTTGTGGTGATTGTTAACTTATCATAGTGGAAAGCAAACACTTCATCAAGTTTGTAAGGCAATATCTCCAATCCAGGTATGAAAAAGTTCTAGAAATACTTTCGTTTGAATGCTATTGCTTTATACTAAAAAATAAAATAAAATAAAGTTGAATAATAAATTATTTAGATAAATATAGTTGTATCTTATCTTTTTTGTTTGACCTATAAATTTCAATAATATATTTTATTGAATCCATAATTTTTTAACTACTTATTGTATTAATTTTTATCAAAATTTATTAAAAAATTAATTTATTTCCCAATCAAATTTCGGCCATTTCTCCATTTTTAGAATAGTACTAATTTAGATTTGCATTATTAAAATAATAAATATGGATTTTATGAATTTCTCAAGTACTTGCATGTTGTATTTCAAGGTGGACCATTTATCTATATATATACACATATATATTAAAAGAGTGTTTTATAAATTTTCTAAGGATTTTGATCTGAAATAAAGATTTATTTAAATTGAAACTCATATTGGAAGTCATACAGTAGGTGTAGTTATATTCATTAATAACTTTATTTATGTGTTCACTTATAAAGTACTCATCAATACTTTTTAATGTTGAGATAAATAAATTTAATAAGGTTGTTGCTGAATTTAACAAGGATTGGGTTGTATATCAATGAATTTAATAAATAAGGTTGTTAATCAATTTAATATAAATCTAATTAGACATAAATCAACATCTTAAGTTATTAATAAATGGAATTTCGACATAGTACAATTCTCAAATCTGGATTTAAATTGAAATCCTAAAGAGACTGACAACATTCAAGTTTAACACATGTTGGACAATCATTATTTTAAAACTCTTTATTTTACACACTTACATTCAACATAGGGATGGCAATTTGAACCGTCAAAATCAAAAATCGTAATTAACCGAACCAAATGGGGCAAAAAAAATCGGACCGATAGTACAATGGGGGTGGATATGGTTTTGATTTTAATGAACCGGTTCGTGGTGGTGCGGGTATGGTATTTACGTCGTCGAACTAAAACTGAACTGATTACCCGCTAAAAAAAAAGAGCAAAAAAAAAAAAAAAAAACACACACACACACAATTGAATTAATTATTAGGATTTACATTATTTTCTATCCCAGACCAAAACAAAATCCCCCTCATTAACCTGACTCAGCCGGTCAGCCAACTTACCATTAGCCCATAATAATAGCATTAGTATAACCGAATCGATTTACGTGGTTATGGTGCGGTTATGATATGGTCAAAAAATTGGTGGTGTAGTTATGGTTTTGGTCAAATCGACCCATAACTGAACCGTTGTCAACCCTAATTCAACCATACGTTCATGCAATAAAATATTATGCACATAAATTCAAATTTTTTCTACTTTTCAACCATACTTTTTTTAAAAATTTACTATTCTAAACTTTGTGTTTTGCCAAATAATGGCCATCAAAAGGGGCTTAGTAAGTTTCAATATTACATTTTATATTTTAATACAAATATAGGAGGAGGATTGATTTACGAAGTACTGGTTGTCATTACATCAATTAATCGATGGATCATTTAATACTTATAATCTACCTGTACTCATTCATCAGTTAGTTGATGTGTCTACTATGTTACCGGATGCGCACACACATGTATATATAATAGACTTCCGTCCAATGATGATTTGCTTTTCAATATTATAACCAATTTCGAACTAAAATAATAATAAAAATAAAAAAGTTATATCTTTTTTCATTTGACAAAATACTTAGAGCAAATATAGCCAATATAATAAAAGCTTGTTTTGTGTTTCAAATTTTACTCTCCAAAAAGATTTATTTTTTCAGTTAATTTTTCTGAAAATGCCATTCTTAAGATTCACATTATGAATTTAGGATTATATTTAAAAAAAAAAAAAAAACTATAGGCATGAGTACCTATGTGAAATGGGTTAATAACTGAAAGAGTTATGCTACACGTACAGGAGATATTCAGAAATTCTTTTTAAGATCACAGGCGTCGCTTTGTGATTCAACAGTTAGAAAAAGTAACATAAAATTCAACCATATAGGTGTTGTGTTCGCAGTACCTATAAGGGTTTTGTGATCAATTCTCGGTACGTAGAAAATTGTTCAAATTGAAATAATGGATGAGGTCACCCAATTGGCCCATTCTTTTTCATGACGTTAATACAATTCATGAAGAGCAAAGCATGTGGCTCAAAGATTAAACTTAGCAACTAAAGATGTCTAATATTCATCGGGGTACTTACAGAAATATATTTACTTTATAAGTTATTTTGAAAAATCATGAAAAAATGCATGGGTTAAAAGACAGAGAGACTAATTTCATTCAATAACACCATAATATTTATGGTGCTAACCTAAAAGAGAGAAGTCGATCAACGACCAAAATTATGACTCTTCAAAACTCCAAATTAAGGAAAATCGAAGTTAGAAAAGAAAGTATTGCACAAATCAAGTCCAAACAAGATTAAGAGTTGCTTCAACTGCCATTTTTCCTAAGTATTATTCCCCAAATCTATAAGTTTGTATGTTCTAGTTTTTTATTCAATTAGCTCATAATAACTTAAAATTATTGATCTAAACGCAAAATTTCATATGTATTAGAACACACACACACAAACCTTAACTAAAATTAAGATTTATGAATTGGATTGAATTAATACAAATAAAGTTTTTTTATATCAACTTTGTATCAATCCAAGTGATGCATGCAAGATATTTGTGAAATGAGAATAAGAAATGTGACACTCTCTGTCAATTTTTTTGAAAAAAATTGCAATCTATCTCACTTGAATTCATTTGGATCAATTAAATAGATGCGTATGTGTGTGTGTGTGTGAAAATTTAATTATGAATATCAATTGAAAAGTTCTTTTACATTAAAAAATAAATGATGCACAATTTATTTGTATTTTTGCATATGAATTAAGATGTTAAAACTTAAAAGTGACATTCTTTGTTACTTTTTTCTAAAGAGATCACATTTTATTTCATTTGAAATCTTTAGAATTAATTAAATAGATCCATACATGTGTATGTGAAAATTTAAATATAAATCTGTATTGAAACATTGTTTTGCATTAAAAAGTGATATGATATAATACTTTATTTGTACTTTGCATATAAATTAAGATATTAAAACTTGAAAGTAACATTCTTATTTACTCTTTTTTCTCTCTCTCAAAAGTCATGTCTATCTCATCAAAATTCTTTAGTATCAATTAAAGAGATTCATCTATTTGAGTTCGTGAAAATTTAAATATGAATATAAATTCAAATCTTGCTTTACATTAAGAAATGACATGATGTAACACTTTATTTGTATTATTTGCATATGAGTTAATATGATGTGAAAAGTGACATACTCTGTCACTTTTATAAAAAAATCTCACACTATTTTGTTTGTATTCTTTTTGCAAATATGAATAAATTAATATTTTCTATGATGAAATTAGGTCCAGCTACGCAGTGAATTATATATATATATATAACTTGTCTTTGATGGAGATTTCAGATGATATTTCTCTAACATTTTATTTGGCGCTCAAGGGAAAGGATAAAATATAAATATCTTGCAACTTTCTGTTGTATGTAGATGTGACAGCGGTATCAGAAAGTTGCAGAATTGAGTTCTTGATGACATATAATATCATTTTTTTGAATGAAAAACTAATTTTTAACATTGATACAAAATTGATATGCAATTCCATTGATAAAACAACTGTATCCTTATCTTTACAC